GAGAGAGAGAGAGAGAGAGAGAGAGAGAGAGAGAGAGAGAGAGAGAGAGAATTGAGACATCGCGTCTCGTTCCTAGTGTGTGACGAACTCCCCATGGATATGTTGTAAGGAATGTACTACCTCTCTGTGGCACAGCCCCAGTTTGATTGGGATCGAAAAGTGGTCAAACACACTTTGCCAGGTGGAGGGACCTCCAGATTGCACAAGTTCAAAGCTAGTAGTCTGATCGAGTCCCATGGATGCATGTGTGCGGCCGCGTTCTATAACTATTATAAGCAAAATCAGGAGGAGGGTATGTACCTAGTTTATGTCTCTGCTGCAGGCGAGCCGGTGAAAATGTCGTCGGAGATAGAGGGAGTGGTTGCCAAGTACCCTGATCTATTTGAAGAGCCGACAGGGGTTGTAGAGAGGCAGGTCGTCCACGCGATAGAGATTATCCTAAGGTCTAGCATCCCGAAGGGTAGGATCTATCGGATGTCTCCTGGCGAGCTCGATGAGCTTCGCCGACAACTCAAGGAACTCGTAGATAAGGGTTGGATCCGGCCGAGTGTCTCTCCTTATGGGTCTCCAGTACTATTCGTGCCTAAGAAAAAGGAAGGGACACTTAGGATGTGCATTGACTATAGGGGCCTCAATGCCATCACTGTCAAGAACAGAGAGCCCCTATCGCGCATCGATGATTTGTTAGATAGAGTCCAAGGGTGTCGGTACTTCAGTAAGATAGATCTGAAGTCCGGGTACCATCAGATTGCAATCCAGCCCGAGGATCAGCACGAAACCGTTTTTCAGACCAGGTACGGTCTGTACGAGTTTGTGGTGATGCATTTTGGCCTTTGCAATGCTCCTGGCACCTTTCAGCACGCTATGAATCGGATATTCCATGACTACTTGGATAAGTTTGTCATCATGTACCTCGATGACATACTTATTTTTAGTAAGACTGTCGAGGAGCACGTTGCCCACCTGGACAAAGTCCTCAGTCTCCTGCGACAGCACAAGTTCAAGATCAACGGTGAGAAGTGCGAGTTTGGCCGCACCCGTGTCTTGTACTTGGGTCATGAGATCTTCGCGGAAGGGTTGAAGCCCGATGACGCGAAGGTGACCAGCATTCGTGATTGGCCACGTCCTTAGTCTGTGACTGAGATGATATCTTTCTTAGGGATGACATGCTACTATAGGACTTCCGTTAAGAACTATAGCATAGTGGCCGCTCCTTTGACTGATCTGACCCGCCTTGACACTCCATGGGAGTGGACAGATGAGTGCGAGGCTACTTTCAGACATCTGAAGCATGCGTTGACGCACTACGAGGTCTTAAAACTTCTCGATCTTGATAAGCCGTTTTTAGTCACCACGGATGCCAGCCAATATGGCATTGGCGTCGTGCTTGCGCAGCAGGAGGGGCCAAAGTTGAGGCCTGTTGAGTACATGTCCAATAAAATGTCGTCTCAGAAGTTGGCTACGTCCACCTATGAGAAGGAACTCTATGCGGTTTACAAGGCTCTGACCCATTGGAGGCACTATCTCCTTGGGAGGTTCTTCATCCTCAGGACTGATCATCAGAACCTGAGATGGATGAGAACTCAGTCGGTACTCTCTGACGCTCTCAAGCGTTGGACCGAAGTCATTGATCAGTATGACTTTGACCCGCAGTATCTGAAAGGGGAGTACAACAAGATTGTTGATGCCTTGTCGCGTAGACCTGATTTCTCAGGTGCTCTGATTACTGAGTTCGATCTTGCGGACAACATTACTCAGTCCTTGGTGGAAGCCTACCGTGAGGATCCGTTCATGTCTGAGATCATTCGCAGACTCGAGGCGAAGGACAAAGTGACTTCTGCCGAGTTTGAGTTGGTCAAGGCCTTGTTGTTCCTTGAAAAGGTTGGGAATAAACGTTTGTGTGTTCCTAATAGGGAGTCTTGCGTAGTTTATTTAGCGAGTGTCATGATGCCACCGGCCATTTTGGGTACAAGAAGACCGCAGCTAACCTGCTGCAGCGGTTCTGGTGGCCCGCAATGATGAGAGATGCCCAATTGTATGTGGAGACTTGTTAGGTCTGTCAGAGAGACAAGCCACGTACTCAGGCTCCTCTTGGGCTCCTGGAGCCCCTTCCAATTCTGGAAAGGCCTGGTGAGAGTTTGTCCATGGACTTCATGGATACGCTGGTTACCAGCAAGAGTGGGATGAGACACATTTTCGTCATTGTGGATAGATTTAGTAAGTATGCTAGATTAATAGCCATGCCGGAGACCCGAGTACGTAATCAGATTGTTCAAAGAGAACTGGGTTAGGGTTTTTGGATTGCCCAAATCCATAGTGAGCGACAGAGATGTCGGCTTCACTAGCGAATTGTGGAAGGCCGCTGCTGTAGAGCAGGGAACCCAGTTGCAGATGACTTCTGGAAATCACCCAGAGGCCAACGGTCAGGCCGAGCAACTGAATCGCGTTGTACGACACCTGTTGAGGCATTACATCAAGCCCAGCGAGGTGGACTGGGATGAGAAGCTTGCTCTCATCGCCAGTCTGTACAACAACGCTGTACACATCGCCACTGGGGTGAGCCCAAACAGTTTGCTATTGACTTTCAAACCTAGACTACCCTTACACTTTCTCCTTCCTGAGAATCAGTCAACTGCTGCACCAGGTACTTCAGAGTTTGCCTACAGGTATGAACAAAAGATGCAGCAAGCGGTAGAACAGATGCAGAAGGCACAGGCTGCAATGATAGAGTCTGAGAATAGACACCGCCGACCTTCTACGTTTCAGGTTGGGGACAGAGTCTGGGTAAAGTCCTCAGAACTGGGACAGGAGTACGGGATTTCCCGCAAACTCATGCCACAGTACTTTGGGCCATGGGAAGTCTTAGATATTGTCGGGACTGATCCAGATGGGCCATCTTATGTAATCCGGATCCCTGGTCATCTCCGTACTTACCATGTCCTTCACGCCTCCAAGCTTGCACCTTTCAAAGAAACAGATCAGTTTCCATCTCATCGTTCAATGCTGCCCCCAACCATGGATGGAGAGGTGGATATCGATCGTGGACCACAGAGAGCTGCCGGTTCCAAGACCAACAGGCAGGGGACGTCCTCCGAAACCGAAGCTGCAGTACCGCATTCGGTTCCGACATCATACTGATCCTCAGGAGGACCGCTGGTTCACCAGGGAAGAACTTATGCAGACCGCTCCTCAAGTTGTGGCTCATTACGAGAAATCTCTGCAGAAAGGAAAGTGCCCGATGGTCGAAGACTGAGCTTCTCAGAGGACTGTTGAAGCTAAGGAGGAGGGAATGCGAGGCCACTGCCTCTATGAGCTCCAATCGGCCCCCTAAGGAGGAGGGAATGCAAGGCCACTGCCTCTATGAGCTCCAATCGGCCCCTTTTTGGAGCAAGTCGGCCGCCCTAAGTGAAGGCAGGCTCGACGAGGCCCTCAGGGCCCTATTTTGACCACTGCGCAACTAAGGAAATTCAGGCAGTTGCGCAGYGCCAGTTGGTTGAGAGAACCCAGGCCCTGGGCCGCCTGTGTGAATGTATGGAAAGCAGGCCCTGGGCTGGATACGGGTACTGGGCCAAACACAGGCCAAAGGCAGTTGGGTGCAAGCAACCACCTCAGGCCCAAGGCCTGTTCTCTGTCGTGTTGGGCCTCAGGCTACCGGGGCCTACTGGAAGCTTCCTGGGACTGAACGCAGGCAGGCCACTTCGATATAGCAAAGGGCCTGCCTCCAGATTGGACATTCGGGTGCTGGCTGCATGCTGCGCAAGCGCTGCTGCGCTGAAGCTCGCTGGTACTCACGCTCTCACGGGCGAGCAGGAAGGAGCAGGCAGCCATAGCCGAGCTGCGCTGCTGTAAGCTGGGTGTGGCGCAGGGTGGTCCTTGGGTGCAAGTGGCATCTGTGTGTTGGGGAACGAGGTTGTTTGTAAGGCGAGAGACATACCTGGTGCTGGAAGCGTGCGGCATTGGCCGCTATCTGCTCGTACTTCGGGAGAGCTGTTGTCGTCAACTTCGGCATTGTAGTATAGGCTAGATAGGATCTGCTATATGTAGTCTGGGCGCTGAGCGCCACATAGGATATCAACTTTGGTTCTTCGTTGATGATGATGATGGGACTATTTCAGCATTGTCAATTATGAACTCTTGGTGTGTTCTTATTTGGTTAAACCCGTGATGCAATTCTGCTTTTGGTTCGAGGTCACGACTATCTGGACTCATATGTATGATGCTGTTTGATTGCTGAAGTTCGCTATTGCTCATCTTCCTTGCACTAGCTTGGAATGCAATAAATTTCAAACTCCACAGCTGTTTGCTCAGAATTTTGCTCCTGCACCTTGTTCTGATGTTGCAGCTCCATTGATGAGCATCAACCAGTGGGCGGGTGCATGTACTTCACGGGCAAGGACGGCACTCTGGTTGCAGCAAAAGGTGGGCATACTTACCGAACAAATAATGTAACCGGTGAGGTCACTCAGCTACAGGCCGTAGACTCAGATGACATTCAGATCAGAGAAAGTGCAAGGTATATTGAGCGGTCGTATGGGCGGGAGTGGCTGCTCGTGAATAGGAGCTCATCTACAGATGTCAACATTGATGGGAAGAAATACTACATTGACACACTGCCATTCACTTATGATAACCTGGAGCTCACAGCAGTGATGATCCTTCCACGTGTCACCATCTTAGGCGAAGTGGACCGCAATCGGAAGGTGACTGCCATCACTCTCATTGTCATGGCTATTGGAGGTCTGGGATTCAGCTGCTTGCTTATTTCCATATTCGTTGGGATAAAGGTATCTCAGCTGCAGCTGCGAGTAAGGCTCATTGAGGAGTTAGAGGCCAAAGCAAAAGTGGAAGCGGAAAATGAAACAAAGACAACATTCCTTTCAAACATGAGGTCAGTTTCACAATTTTGAAGTCCTCACTTCCAGCAACATGAGGAACCTGAAAATGAAGCTCGTGATTCCTATCCATGCCATTATTGTCAGCCTGGAGCTTGCGGTGCAACCAGAGTCGTTTTGCTGGGACACCTATCCTTAAACATCAATGTCATACCCACCTCACTCCCAGCAACACGAGGAAGCAGAAAACGAAGCTCGTGATTGTTTTTTCTGTGCTATGCCCACCTCACTCCGAGCAACAGGAGGAAGCAGAAAATAAAGCTCGTGTTTGTTTTTTGAACTTTTTTCTGTGCTGTGCCCTCCTCACTCCCAGCAACAGGAAGAAGCAGAAAATGAAGCTCGTGTTTGTTTTTTCTCTGCTGTGCCCTCCTCACTCCCAGCAACACGAGGAAGCAGAAAATGAAGCTTGTGTTTGTTTTCTGTGCTGTCTTGGTCAGACCGAAAGGAAGCCAAGGCCATTTTGTTGAGACATCAATGATCAATCTTTGAACATTGATGTCAACCTAATCATCTGTGCAATTTTCCTTTGTACGGTTGTACCATTCAATCCTCCGAATGGGCTTGTATGGACTCCCCTTTTTCTTTTCTTATGCGGTAGATTCCCAGAGTCTCTTTTGCCCCACTTCTAGGCGGGCCTCATGGTGCCCTCCAAACTGATGCAGAGACAGATACAGTTTTTCTCTTTTTTTTTTGGACCATTTTTTGATTTATGTGTTTCATCCTTGTGCGGGGGCCATGCTAATCTTCTGTCTATCGTTCCGATTTTAATGGATGTCCTGAACGAACAGCAAGATACACTTTAGTAAATGAAAACCATTCTATTCGTGCATATTCATTACTTGTGTATTGCCGTCAAAAACATTATGATGGTGTTGCACGAGATATGGTTAACGGGGGGCCAAATATTCACCATTTTCGCTGGCAATTTCAGTGCGAATTTCATCGAAAATTTTAAAAACAAACGATATGAGACCATAGTGCAAACACCAAAAAAGGAAACAGGCCAAGAAAAACAAAAAGAAAAACAAAAAAAACACTATGAAACCCTAACACAAAGACACCGTCCGAGTCAAAATGAAGTATCCAACGAATTCAACGAAATGCCAACTTTTTCATCATTGATCCAAACATGTCAAAACTGAACACATGACGTACCCTAAAGCACATATGTATCACACAAAAAGAAAAACAAGAAAAAGAGCAAAAAATCAGCACACTATGACAGTTCGGTGCTATTCGGTGCAAAATTCGTCGAAAATAACGCCCCTGGTTAACCATATGTGTGTTGCACATCTGCCTTGTTTTCTACCATATATTTTTCGCTTACTTGGATACCACCCAGACCAGGCCTGAGACATGTCCCCTTGTATCTGCTCTTCCGCAATAGCCATATAGAGCCGGACCATTCGGATCATCAAAATCTGCAACCGATATATCTGGATTGATGGCGTGTGGATCCCATTTGCTCCATAAAAATACATGTTCTCCAGGCATACTCACACAAGCACTTTTTGGACTGCATCTGGTTGACACTGCCGCTGGATAGCCCCAGAAAAGTTCCTGGTGTAAGTACGTGCTCGGATCTCACCGCATGTTCCTTTTCCCTCATAAGCCAAATGGAATGGATTGCACCTGCCTGTGGCTGAGTGTTACACTCATGTAACCTTTGGGAAACAAATTGAACAGATCGCCTTTCTCCTTTTGAACTTCCTATCCTTTCATTTCTGCCTTGAAGTTTTCAACAGCCTGCCTGAAATTTTTGACAGGCCACATACCGTTACAGCCACCCGAAAGGAAATCCGTTTCATGGACCCGATAGCTGCCAAACTTGCTATCAAGTTTTCATACTTTCATCTCTTCATTTATGCAGGAAGCTGCTTAGAGTCCTGAAGTATCCATACAATATGCAGTCGGGTGGAGAATAGGGTCAGCATGTGTGTGTGTGTGTGTGTGTGTGTGTGTGTGCTGTCTCTTATACACATCTAGATGTGTATAAGAGACAGGTCTGGAACCCGGTCCGGACGTCCGGGCGGTTACCAGGCTGTAGGGTTTTCTTTTTTTTTTTGATTGTTTGCTTTGGGTTGGGGGGGGCTACGTGGTTGTGTTCATTTTCCTGCCTCCTATTTCTATGCTGACCTGGATTGTGGTTCGAATGTGTATATGGGCGTCATGTCATTGTGTTCGTTTTGGCTTTCTTTTTTGCGATTCGAGTTGTGTGGGCAAGCAACCCAATCGTGTTCTCAAGCTTGCATGAGCCCGCTGCTGCTCGCAGCTGACCTACGTGGGTAGCGATCGTGGGGGAGGATGGCGGGGCGTTTGTTTTTCCTTCTTCTTTTTCGACTTTTTAACGTTCTTCTGATTTTTGCGATCGCTTCGTTGTTGCAGGATGAGTCATACTTGGTGGTTGTCTGGTAACTGTCACGGAAGGTTCGGATCACGTGTGGGATTGAAAGACGCGTGGAGGTGGTTAAGGGTGAGAGAGTATGATGGGTGGGGGAGGATGGCGAGGGGGGGATTGTGTGATTAGGACAAACGATTGTGGACGTGAAGGGGGGGTATAGAAGGTATAGTGGGAGAGATGGAATGGCAAGGACTCATGAGGCGTTCGGTGAGGGAGAGGTGGGGAAGTGATGTTTGTAAGGGGGTTGTGTGGTTGGTGTTGTTGAGTGTGTGTGGGTGGGAAGGATGGTGGGAGTGATGTCGCTCGAGGGATTTGTGAGGGGGGGTGAGGGAGGAGTGGAGTGGTGTGATAGATGTTAGTGGGGGGATGGGTCGAGGGGGATGGGTGGAGACGGGCGTCTTCTAGGCGGGATATTTGGCCTGGATGCTGTGTTGTTGTTGCTTCTAGTTGCTTGTCGACATGAATCTTGTTCTTGATGTGATGATGTGGGCTGCTGCTCCTTCGCCAGGTGTTCTACCGGTGTAGGTGGGCAGCGATGATAGTTGAAGCTGGCGTGAAGATCGATTGCCTCTTGGTGCTCTAGGTCTCCATTCCCCCATGCATGGGCCGTGGGGATCTAGACGGTCGAAGACGAAGGATGAACGTGTAGTGATGGTCGAAGACGGTGGGCAATTGCGGCTTGGCAGCTCTCGCTGCAGGGTTCGAATTCCTGGCGCGCAGCTCGGCTGGGCGCGGACACGTCGGGCAGGAGTCGACCGTTGTGCGGATGTGGGGCGGGTACCCGCTGGCGAGAGTGCCCAGCGGGGTTGGCCCGGTAGCTTGCTCAAAGTAGCGCAGCTGAACCGGTAGCACTAACCAAGGGCGCTTGCGCTCAATTTTTGATTTTTTGATTTTTCAATTTTTCAATTTTCTAGGCTGGGCCGCCGCCCGGCCTGGCGTCCCCCGACCGGGCGGGCCCAGGGGGGTTCGCCTGGGAAATCCAGACGGCCCCAAAACCCAGCAGGGATTTTTTTCATTTTTTATTTTTTGAAACCGGGGTTTTGCTGCGCTACCCTAGAGGGCGCTGGGGGGAGGGGGGCTGTCTCTCTCTCTCTCTCAACGGACGATCCATCATCTGTTGAGAGAGAGAGAGAGAGAGAGAGAGAGAGAGAGAGAGAGAGAGAGAGAGAGAGAGAGAGAGAGAGAGAGAGAGAGAGAGNGAGAGAGAGAGAGAGAGAGAGAGAGAGAGAGAGAGAGAGAGAGAGAGAGAGAGAGCGGGAGGAGGTGGGGAAGTTCACGGAAGGGGGCAGATCTTCAAAAACGGAGTGTCACTTCAGGTGCAGCCATCAGGTACTACATAAGATGGCCACCGTTCTCTTTTGCAGAATGCACAATACTGACTGCCACATGGACAACAATTCCATAGGTAGAATTAATCGCTTGGATGGATCATACGAACTTTACTAAGTAGACCGCTTTGGGGAAAACCATAAAGTTGTGCCGTATAATAAATTTTTGCTCTTGGAATTGCACCTTTGCTGGTATGCAAGCTTTTCGATCTGTTTCTTGCACTAGATTTCTGGGATTCTTCGGAACGGACATCAATGCGCGGTTGTTGCTAGCCCAGGTAGCCATCCATATGAGATTGTGCAAACAACAAACTCGAAATATCTTCAGGAAGATGGACAAAGAATTCAACCCCTTGAAAAGAACAGGCTTGCAGGAAGACTTTGAAGCGGAATGTCTCTGCAACGAACAGATAGCACAGATAGAGGGCTTCTCAAGAGCACGCTCTAGCCTTTATAAGAGAGGAAGATGGCAGAAAAAACTGGCTTACTTTCTCCATGCATAGCCTTGAAGAGCCAGGACCAGACTACTGCAAAGTCAACAAAAACCCGTTAGCACAAGTCACAGTCAACGAAAGCAAACTAAGAAAGGTCATAGTAATAGAAAACGAGGAACTTGTTATATTCCAACCACAAACCACAATATAGGATTTAGAATTTGACCCAGCAGAATGGGCTTGGAACCTAAAGCAAAAGTTCACAAGAATAGATCGCAGAATCAACCTGATCAACTATACCACTAGCCTAGGCTATAAACTTAGAAGTAGATCAACAACACCGGATACAGTCATGGCAGACCGCTGGACGAAACACCTCAAAGTAGATCTTGTGTTATTAAAAGAAATCCCATGGAATCAAATAGCAATCTTACACCCCCCCAAGTTCCAAAGTCTACAATGGTTAATCCTATACCTAGCAATCCAGCTCAATCAATGGGTGAACTTCAGAAGAAAAAAAGAGGATAGAAACCCCTTAAACGAATATGCGCCAACTGTTCAGAGGATCAAATAGAGAACCTGTTCCACTGTTTCCTCCAATGCCCCAAAATCAAACCCACATGGTTTAAGATAGCTCAGATATGGTCCTCAACAACCAACAGAAACTTCACAACGAGCCCTACCCTTATTTCTACTAGGTTTCACATCACCAGACGACTGGTCCCCCTTACAAACCAATCTTTTCCAAATCCTGCGCAAGTCAGCACTATGGTCCATACGGAGAAAAAGATGCCAGGAAACAATAGACAAACAACCAATGCACGTGCAGGAAG